GTAAGGCCATTAAAGTTGACCAAATTTTTTTAAAGATGAAAAATACAGATTAGATGTGTTAGCACATTTTTAACATAGTATTGGTGCTTTCTCTATAGCAAAAATGAGTAAAACTTTATTCTCAGAATAAATAATGAGAAAATATGATTAATTATGTAAACAATAATGATAGTGAGAAAAAAGAAAAGATGAATGATTTGATAGGAAAGCGAATAGGTCAGATAGCTACATAGAAGATGGCTAAATAGAATGTTTCAATGTATATTTTTGAATAGTTCAAAAAAAACTTATATGCCGAGGCTAGTACGATTATCTCTTTTGATGGCCATCCAATTAGTATTGAATCATCGATAGAGGGAAAACTGAATATGAGGTAGTTAAGAAAATGATAAAAGTATGAGGGAATATTGTGTGAAAAGGATAGCTAGGACTAAAGAGAAATTTCAGTCAGCAAATGTATCCTCGTTTATATGTCGCATACAGTTTATTCACACAGCTATCTGCATCAAAGAAAGAATAAGAAAAATAAATACAAGCAAAATTGCCCGAATAATGATCAATATTGCGCAATTAAGCTTCTTTAATGATAAGTGCCTAACTTATTTGGGTCGAATTTATCCATCTTCGCTTTTAGTAGTGCAACTATAGCGTTCCAACCCCTCAACAACCAGCCTTTCAAGGTTGAATGCAGTTGAGCAATAGTAACGTAATTAGTATCGCCAAATACAATGATGAGAGACCTATATAAAAGTCAATACTAAGTCTTAATCCCACTTAGCTCAATCTTCCTTCCAGCCTGTCCTGGCTGCTGACATTCTATTTCGACTATTTGCACCATAAGCAGTCTCATTCTGGCTAGTATCGCCTAATGGCTGAGAAGACCAGCCGTTCTCGCTGCCAGAGTCAGCGCTCCTCCACAGATCTGATTTTTGGCTGGTTGAAGACGCCGGTGCATGTGACTCAGGCCAATCCCAAGCGCCGGCTAATAGCAGAAAGAATAAGAAAAGAAAGTGTATAGAAATAAAATTGCAGGAAAAACATTACGCAATAAAGGAAGATACGAAAATGTTCCCTTTTTTAGCGAGAGTATAATTTGAAGGAAAAATGATAATTTAGGGCTATAAAAATTAATTTAGCGGTCGAGTAAAATTGAGAATGAAATTGTGGTTCAACATTGAAACTAATCAAAGCAAGCAGTACCGCAACATGTGGGTTGACAAGGAAGTATTATGGATAGAAACAGGATAGACGCAGTGGAGACTAGAGCTAGCTGGCTGAAAGTAGACCTGTCTTAACATATACACGGTCCATGGAGCAATGGCTCGACCATAAGAATTAATCAAGGAATTTAACGGCAAGTTAGTCTCCCATAGGAAGAGTGTGGGAAATAACGCCTCGAGTAGCAGATGGGCTGGTAGGGGTCGAGTGAAATACTTGAACCAGAGAGAGAGCAGACGGATTCTACGGGACAAGAGATAGATTCTGATAAGACCTATAGGAGGACTGCGCAACAATAGAGCAGACTATGATCAACATTCCCAGCACAAGAATGAAGGGGGATGAGTGAGTGAGAAAGCCAGCATGGAGTGTAGGGAGTTCTCATGAAGGCCATTCAAAAGGTCACACAATACCACACTTAAATAAGCAAGTGAAAATGGTGATATTGAAGGCGTGATA